AATTTGTCATTCACTGTGACACGCTGGAAACATAATACTCGCCACCCCTTTTTTAGTACTCACTAATTATTCCGATAAATAGTGAGTAATTGTTCAGCGTATTGTTCAGCATCTGTTCACTGATTGTTCTCTTTCTATCGCCATCACAAACAATTGGCTTTAAACCCCCAAGGAGTCGTCCTAATGCCGATTAAATCTAATGACCTCACATTGCAACTACAGACTGAACAGAGGTCATAAATTCCAACGATTTAGACCTCCGTATCTCGGTGACCTCCCAGGGTTACCCCAGGGTACCAGCCTACCCTCCCCTTCTCTCTCTCTTTCTCTTCTCTCTCCTCTCCTTCTCTCTTCTCCCTCACCTCTGCTTCCCCTCTTCTCTCTCTCTCTCTCTCTTCTTCTTCCTTTGTCTTCATTTTTTATCCTTTCCTTCCTCTCTCATTTTCCCCCTTTCGTCCACAGAGTCCCCTTCTCTATCTCCCTTTTCCTCTCTTCCCTCCTTCTCCCATCCAGTCCCCTTCTCCTCATTCCCCCCTCTCCCTCTTCTTCCTCCTGCTTCTCCCCCATTCACTTCTCCTCCCCCATTCTTCCTCTCTCTTCTCCTCTTCCTTCCTCCTCCCATTCCTCCTTCCCCTCTCCAACTCCTTCGTCTGTGGCTTCGGTCTTTAGGTGTGGTTTTCTTCGTCTTTGTTGATTCTGTGGCTGTGTGTTTGTTTGTTTGTTTGTCTGTCTCATTAACGTTTCTCTTTCGTTCGATCATTCGTATGAATACTTGTCACCGTGTAGTTCGTATCATCGCACTATCTCTCCTTCTTCTTTCCTTCTTCTTCTCTTCTTCTTTCTCTCTCTCTCTCTCTCTCTCTCTCTCTCTCTCTCTCTCTCTCTCTCTCTCTCTCTCTCTTCTCTATCTCTCTTCTCTCTCTCTCTCTCTCTCTCTATCTCTCTCTGTTCTCTCTCTTTCTTTCTTTCTCTTTCTCTCTCTCTCTCTCCTCTCTCTCTCTCTCTCTCTCTCTCTCTTCTCTCATTCTCTCTCTATATCTATCTCTCTATCTCTTCTCTATATTATATATATATATATATATATTATATTAATATAATATATATATATATATATATATATATATATATATATATATATCTTCATCATCATCAATCATCATTTTCATTTTCAATATTTTCTTCATCGTTATTGTTATATTCATTATTATTACTATTCTTGTTATTACTACTAGTAGTAGTAATAGTATTGCTATCATCATTATTATTAGTAGTACTATTGATCATTATTGCCATTATTATTATCATTATAATCTTTATTATTATCATTATTATGATTATTATTGTTATCCATATCAACATAATTGTTGTCGCATTATCATGGCTTAACCGACTTAGTTTCATTTCTTTACTCATTTCGAGACTAAGCCATTCTGGTACACGCATTGGAGTTGCTGAGTTCTAAGCCCCGACTGACCTTTCTTGACCTCGGATCCAGTTTCATGCGAACCTTGGCTTTCTCTCTGCAGGCATTTTCCTGAATATTCTGGTCGACTGTTTTAAACCTTTTTGTTGTTGTTGTTGTTGTTTTTGTGTGTGTGTGCTTATTTTGTTAGGCTGTCAGGTTGTCTGTGTGTCTGTTTGTTTCTTTCTTTCATTGTCTCTCTATCTTTCTCTCTTTCCCTATCTCTTTCTCTTTCTCTCTCTCGCTCTTTCACTCTCTCTCTCTCTCTCTCTCTCTCTCTCTCTCTCTCTCTCTCTCTCTCTCTCTCTCTCTCCTCTCTCTCTCTCTCTCTCTCTCTCTCTCTCTCTTTCTCTTTCTCTTTCTCTCTTCCTTCTCTACGCCCCCCTCCCCAACGCCCACAATTCCCTCCCCCTCCCCTACCCCTCTTCTCTCCCCTCCATCCCTAACACCCTAGATTTCCCCTCCCCCCCTCCCCTTCCCCCTTCTCACCCCTACACCCCCAGCACCCTAGATTTCCCCTCTCCCACTACCCCTATCCCCTCCCTCCACCCCACATCCACCCCTCTACCCCACCTATTTCCCCTCCCCCCTCCCATTCCACCCTTCCCCTTCCCCCCCTCTCTCCCTTACCCCCAATTACCCTTAGATTTCCCCTCCTCCCTCCCTTTCCCCCTTCTCACCCCCCACCCAACACCCAGATTCCCCCTCCCCCCCCTCCCTCCACCCTCCTTCCCCCTTCTCTCCCCTCCCCCCAACATCCTAGATTTCCCCTCCCCTCCCCCTCCCCCTTCCACCCCTCCACCCCCAAACCCCTAGATTTCCCTCCACCCTCCTTTCCCCCTTCTCACCCCATCCACCCCCAGCACCCTAGATTTTCCCTCCACCCTCCTTTCCCCCCTTCTCTCCCCTACCACCCCAACAACCCCACACTTTCCCCTCCCCCTTCTCTCCCCTCCATCCCCAACACCCTAGATTTCCCCTCTCCCACTACCCCTATCCCCCCCCTCCTCCTAATACCCCCCACCTCCTTATCAGTAAGTTCCTCAAGCCATCCTGCAAATCCTCTTCATCTATCCTACTTTTCCTCCTTTTCCTCCTTCTCCTCCTCCTTTTTCGTGTCTGACTTTCCTCTCTCCATCGTCATCATTTCGAGAATTATCTTCAGCCTTATGGGAAAGCTTGATAAATGAGGGAAAG